AGTTCGATTCCTGGTCAGGGCACATGCCTGGATTTCGGGCTCGCCTCTAGCAGTGTGGGGTGTGCAGGAGGCAGCCGATCCATGATTCTGTCTCATCATTGATGTTTCTCTCTCTCTCTCACTCTCCCTTCCTCTCCGAAATCACTAAAAATATATTTAAAAATAAAATGAAGAGCAACAGAGCTATCTGGTTTCTGGAACGTGAACTGGATGGCTTGGTACAAGTCCCCTGTTCACTGTATTTCTTTGCTCCACAAGTTTCCAGGGATGTTCCCCTAGTCCAGCAGTTCTCAACCTGTGGGTCGCGACCCCTTTGGGGGTCGAACGACCCTTTCACAGGGGTCGCCTAAGACCATCGGAAAACACATATATAATTAATATTGTTTTTGTGATTAATCACTATGCTTTAATTATGTTCAATTTATAACAATGAAAATACATCCTGCATATCAGATATTTACATTATGATTCATAACAGTAGCAAAATTACAGTTATGAAGTAGCAACGAAAATAATTTTATGGTTGGGGGTCACCACAACATGAGGAGCTGTATTAAAGGGTCGCGGCATTAGGAAGGTTGAGAACCACTGCTTAGTCAGTTATAGTTCTTACTTATAGAGGGCCAGTGGCAGCCTGCCCACGCATTAACTGACATAGCCCCATCCTCGCACCAGACTTGGAGCCAGACCAGAGCCCTGGCCATGGTCTCCTAGGCTCTCATACTTGAGTGTTGTGACCTTTGCTCAATCACTTTACTTTCAAGCTTTGTGAAAAGAGGGGATTGCATGGTTCTTAGAGTCTTCCAGATTGGGTACCTAAAGTTCTACTCTAGAAAGCTGACTGTGTTCATTAATACCTTGTAATTTCATTCCTTTCCTAAGAATTACTACTCAGTTCTCATCTCTGAGCCTTTCTTGCAGGGAACCGCTCCTTTTACACAATGGAGAAAGCTGTCCTGGACTCCCCCCTTTTATTCACCTTTTCTCAGAGCTCTAAGGGACGGTGTTGAGAGACAGCTCAGCAAGCTGGGCCTTTGGCTTTTCTATCATGGGGTTTGGATGCATACGCGCACGCATGCACTCATATGCATGTAAATTAGAGGGGTATGGGCCTTGGGCCTCTGTGTTGTTCCCACTATTTGTTTTGAACAGATGAGGTCTGGATTTGAAGGGTCACATGACCAGAACTACAAAACCTGGGTCTTTAGGTTGGAGGTTCCCCACCAGGGGTCAGGGTCAGGGTTAGGGTTAGGGTTAGGGCTACCATTCGATGTGTCCCTCTCACCTCACCTCACTCTGTGCCCCTCACCGCCCACCACCCCCACTTGAATTCTAGTGAAAAGTTAAAATAAATGCCAGAACACCCTAGAAGAAAAAGGGAGGATGCACTAAAAGGCCGGCTGTGTGACGCAGCTGTTTTGCCCTGGGGATAGACATGAGTGAGGCTGTTGGGACAGCCAGTGTCGCCTGGGCCTCAAGCTTGTTTTAGCTGCAAAATGCATGGCCGGGGCTGTCATGGGGTTCACAGCTACGGTTTCTTCATATCAGCTTCTCCGTTTGAAGCATCCCAGAGTTTGGATTTTGATTACTCTGATGAACTTATCATCAAATGCTTTTTTTTTTCTTTTAGAGAAAATTTTTATGAGTTTATTTGAGCCAAACTGACAACATGTGCTGGGGAATGAGATCTCAAATGTTCCTCAAAATGCATTTTATAATTTTTTAAAAACCATATTTATATGACAATTTCTACAAATCTTCCTTTTGCATTACCCCATTTAATCCTTCCCTCAACAGGAAGTAGGAAGGGCAGAAAAATGTTGTTCCCACTATTTTTTTTTCAACAGATGAGGTCTGGATTTGAAGGGTCACATGACCAGAACTAAACCCTGGGTCTCCAGGTTGCGGTTCCCCACCCCAGGTCAGGGTTAGGGTTAGGGCTAGGGCTACCAGTTGATGTGTCTCTCTCACATTGATGTTTTTTTCTCTCTCTCCCCACTCCTCTCTCTCTTCCATCTCTCTCTTCCCCTCCTCCCTCCCTTCTACTCTCTCCAGAAATCAATGGAAAAAAATACGCTAGGGTGAGGATTAAAAAAAAAAGAAAAGAAACATCTTCAACCATTTTCCTAATTCAAACCACTGCGAAACCATCAGGTAATCCTGCATATACCATCTTTACTGATAGAAAGAAAGATCAACTCAGTCCCTCTCTTATTGTTATAGGGTCTGGATTCATCTTTATTCATGCAAGATGGCCAGTGAGGACAGTGGGGAGGTGGGCTTTGGAATCTGAGGGACATTGGTACTAACTAGTGAAGTGAGGCCACCACCCCACCTGCAACAGCTTAGCTTTCTGGGTATCGAAGCAAAGACATAGAGAAACCCTGGGTTAGGGTGTGGGCAGCTGAGGGCAGGGGCCTAGCAGAGCATCCTCTCTAAGTGTACCGCTGCAGCCCAATTCCTGGGGGGTGTGGGGGTGTGTGTGAGGGGGTAGAAGAGGGGGTAGATCCTGCCTCAGGCTCTGTCTGCAGCACACTGCTCTAAGGTAGTCAGGCCCCAATTGTGTTTAAGTCTTTAAAGAGGCTCAGGGATTCTTTAAAGCAGCACGCTTAATTGTTGTCTGTAATTGAGGTGACATATGCCCCAGAGGCATGTACTGAGGTCCAATGGAAGAGATGGTTTTGTAAAAATTGGTGTTAATTAATTAAAGAAGGCAGTGGCACGGGGCTGTGAGTTAGTGCCAGACTTCGTAACCCTAAACCAGCCAACCCACCCAACCGGCCTCACCACCTGAGGAACAATCCCCAAGTTCACCAAGGTGGGGTGGGAGACCTGGGATGCAGGGCAGGAAGCGGGGACTGAAAGGAAGAAAGGTGGGGCTCAGGGAACCCTCTCTTAGTTTTCATGACCCCCCCAAAAGGCTTGGCTCCTGAGAACTGTTTGGCCACCACCCTAAGACGTGTTGCGGGCTAGGAAACTGCAGTAAAGGGAAGGCAAAATCAAAGGAGGGAGGTGAGATTGTGGGCGAGGGGCAGCGAAGGGAGGAGAAAGGTGCAGAGCTGGCGTCTGGGCTGGGAGGGGGAGCTGTTGGCAGGAGTGAAGCATGATGGAGCCACTCAGGTAGAAACTGGGAAGATTCCAGGGTGGAAAGGACCCTGTGGGCGGAGCTCAGGGGAGATAGGACGCGGGTGTGGGGGCGGCAACATGGTGCCTGGGGCCTCTGGCATTCAGTGGAGGTATTAATTAAACCCCTGACCTGAGGTCTTTAGCGGAGCTGTGGCAGCCTTTCATAGGCGCTGGGTTCAGAACAATCACAACAATAATAATAACAATTAACCATAATGAGACCTTATCTGCAGTAAGTTGTTTCTAGGGCTTTGTAGGCATTAAGTCATTAGTTCCCCAGGCCCCGGAGGGCCACCTTTTTTCTAGAAGTCTTGGAGGTGCAAGAGGATTCAGTTCGGCCTGCTGCCATTGGCTGGGCGGGTGCGTTCACTGACAGAGCCGTAAAACCCAGGGTTTCTTCGGGCTTCATAAACTGTTATAATCTTTTGCATTTAGAAAATAGTGCTTAAAAGGGCTAAGTTCAGAAATGTGGAAATCGGCCACCACAAGTATCTACACAACTTTGATGTGAAAACTCAAGTCCTACCTGAGACGGAGCCACGTGCTGCATCAGAGTGGCCTGGAGATGACCATGAAGTGACCATGTTTGTGAAGCTAGCTGGAAGGATTGAGCCCTGGCCTGAAAATAGGGTACATGGAAGGACTTCAGGTATCCATCGCCACCCTCCTACCCCCTCCTCACCCCCCGACCAAGAAGGGAAATTTAGAAGGAGGGGTTCAGGGAAGTAAAAAGAGGAGGGTCATTCTAGAATGGCAGTCACATGGGATGGAGTCTGGGAGCCAAAGTCTCCCGCGAACCCCAGTGCCAACAGTTACTAGCCTTGCAGATTTCAACTGTTCTTGCGTTTGTGTTTCCTGTAACAGTGGTTCCTGCAAACTTTACACATTCGATTCAAAATCACACTGTCACCTGCATCTCAAAGATGATGAAAGTCTTCATCATTATCCTAGTCAATATCAAAGACAACATTGTATAGCACCTTTTTTTAAAAAAAAGATTTCATTGTATTTAAACAGATGGGCAGGTGAGGTCCAGAGCAGGAACTGAGCTTGTCTGAATCTTAGAGTTGGGCAGCAGAAAGATCTCTGTCAGGGCTGAAGAGCCATCACCATTCATGACAGTGAAATAAGAGGGACCAGTCCTCATTGTTCTGAAACCCGCCATCTCTCTAGAGCCAGAGCCGGCCTTCCTTCCCTGGGTTACTACTGTACAAAGAAAGTTACCTGTAAGAAGGTACTGGGGTTTTCAGGGCTTGAATACCAGTCAACCTTGTAGATTGCATCAAAGAGTAATCTGGTTAACAAAGTAGTACTAAAAATATTGTAACATTTGAGACAGACTCAAGTTATTCATGGTTTATCTGAAATTCTAATTTAACTGGATGTCTTGTATTTTATCTGGCACCACTACCTGCAGGTAAAACCACCAGGAGATTCATACTAACTCCTCTGGAGTTTCTTAGATAAAAATGCAATAGGAAGGAGAGAAATACTTTGATCGCTTCCAGTTCCTTGGTACTGGGAATGGGAGACACAGAAGATGGCCAACAATGTATTAGGGAAGCAAGAGACCCAGACCCAGGTGCCCACCGACTCTGGTAGGCGCGCTCATGCCCACCCTGGGTGCGTGGGTCACCAAGTCTTTAACTGGCTCCCTGCCAGACTGCATAGTGGCTTCAGAGCCTCCAGAGAGAACACAACCTGCCCACACCTTGATTTGAAACTTCTGACCCCCCAGAACTGTTAGACAAGAAATCTGTGTTGTTTTAAGCCACTAAATTGGTGGTAATTTGTTACAGCAGCATCAGGAAACTACATCCTTATTGCCTAAAGGGAAATCTGAACTGCTTTGCAAGGCATTCAAGGGCCTTCTGTTATCTGCCTAACTGGCTCCCCCACCCCCACCCCAATCTTTACCCACAGAACTTCTCCAGGATCCTCAACAGGGTCACGCCCTCTCTTATTCCCATGCCTTTGTATGTGCTATTTCTTCCACCTGAACACCCTCTGCTCACGTGTTTGTCTGGCAAATTCCTCATCCTTTCTACAGCTCAGCTCAAATAATACCTCCTCTGTGAAGTCTTTCCTGCTTTTCCCTCGAGGAACTTAGGGCTCCTTTCTCGCTCCTCTGCTGCACTTCAATTGCACTCCTGTTAAAGCAGGTCCATATGATAAGGGCCCAACTGTTCTTTCTCGGGACAATAAGCCATTTGAGGGCACGGAGCCTCTCTTTAGACCTTGCGTCTCCCTTAGCACTAGCACGGTCCCTGGCACATCAAATAAAGGTCCCCAGAGACTACAGCTCTTATCCTGACTGCCAGCGGGCCCTGGACCAGTGACGCAGCCCCTCCAGCCCAATTCTCCGTCCATAACAAGCATTGGGGAAACCATCCCTTCCCTTTCCCCAGGGAGAGATGATGACAAAGGCAATCCGACATGGAAGTGTTTCAAGGCCAAAAAAAGAAAAAGGCACCAGTCAGAGTTTGGTAATATTCCAGCTGTACCCACGGTACGTCACACTTCCTCTCCAAGTCTCAGTTCTTCAACGGGGCAGGCGCCGTGTCCGCCTCCCACCCCATTGTACCCCCACGTCTACACTGTTTTTTAGGATGAATTCTCTGGTGGATGAAGATCTTGGGGGAGGCTTTCCCACATTCTTCAGACTCGTGGGTTCTCTCTCATGTGCACACACCGATGTGGAGCTCATCTTGACGGGAGGCTCCCCCACAGCCACTGCACTCACGTAATCGAGTTCCATGACACTGAGTCAGGTGTACCTTCCCAGCTTCCAACTCACCCCGCGGGCTCTCCCATGGACACCTCAGGTGCAGGCACAGGGTTCTTTCCAGTAGGAATTATTATCTGATGTTGTATAAGATGGTTACTCCACCCAAATGAAGGCTTATTCACGTTTATTACACTTATGAATTTTTTTTTTCTGTGTGAATTCTCTGATGTCTCATGGGAAGTGAAAGGCAATGAAGGTCTCTCTAAAGGCCCCTGATGTTCCCAGCTCTGTGTCCAGTGTGCAGAGGGACTCCGGCCTCTGAAAGTTCACAACCTGGTGGAGGAGACAACATGCATGCACACGGAACCGCTGGGGAACACGAGACATTGTGTAATCACACCGAGCCCCAGAGTTGAATGGAATTCAGAGATTGACTAGATGGGAAGGCCTGCACGAAAGGCGTTAGACGTTAGCTCAACTTGGAAAAGATGGTGGAATTGAGGCTGGAAAAGAGAAGAGAAAGGTGTTCAGGAGGTGGCTTTAGAGCAGGGACAAAGACATCCTTCTGTAGGGACTCACTGTTTTAGGTTCTGGAGAGAGAGACTGGGTGGGGGGGGGGCGGTGTGGAGAGGGAGGAAGGAAGAAAAAGAAGAAAGGAGGTTGGAGGGAGGAAGAGACAGAGAGAGAGACAGAAAGAAAAAGAGAGAGAAATTCTGTCTGACGTAATGATTTGTCCCTTGATTTAGGAAACTCCCACAAACGTAGGCAGCAGCCTTTGAACATTTTATTTCTCTAATGCTGCTCTCATTTTACAGCTCAAGCCATTTTCTCTTTTACCTCAAAAGGAACCTAAGAAGGCACTTACGAAGGAACACTTTCCCCCTGCACTTCGGGAGCACAGGCCCCCTTTCCAGTTCCAGGACCCATTCCAGGTCCAGGACTATGAATGGCACCCCAGGTGACAGAGGCCCCAGGTGGGAGAGAAGGGAGAGAAGCCCACCCAGGAGGGGGCCCAGGAGGCCGCGTGCCAGCACGTCGGAGCGCTCTCTCCCTCTCTCCCTGTATCACAGGCTCTAAAAAATTTCCACCCGGGATGTTGACATTTAGAGAGAATGAGGGGCATCCGATCCAAAGGCCTTTCCATGTCCGTTTTATGGAGTCTTTCAGGAGCATTCGGAGTAGGGAATACTTGGTAACGTTCCCGCAGGGGGCGGCGGGCGAGCAGGAGGGTGGGATGTGCAGATCCCGTCTCGTCAGACAGTCAGGATACGTTCCTACCAATTATAGTGGTTAAACGCTGACTCAACATCCAGCAGCAGCCTGAGGTGTCAGCCTTCATCCACGGACAAGTTTCAAAGTGAGACACGGGAGGACACGGGACCTGCCCTGGGCGATGTCGTCAGAGGACCGAGGAGTGGACTTCACGCCCAGCAGGGCGGCTGCTGCTGGCGAGGTTGCGAGCCCTGTCATTTCCAACGTGGGGAAACGGGAGGTGCCTTTTCTCCTTGTCATTGCCCAAAGCGTTTGTTTGCATGTGGAATTCTTAGGCTCCTTTAAATATGATTTAAAAAAATTTTTTTTTTAATTTTAAAGAGAGAGGAATGGAGAAGGAGAGAGAGGTAAAAACATTGATGAGAGAGAAACATCCCTTGGCTGCCTCCTGCACGCCCCCTACTGGGGATCGAGCCCACAACTGGAGCATGTGCCCTGACCGGGAATCAAACCGTGACCTGCTGGTTCATGGGCCCACGCTCCACCGCTGAGCCATGCCGGCCCGGCGGGGTGGACTTCTAAGGCTCTTTGTCCTGTGCCACTTCCCTAGGAGGCTGAGTCTGGGGAGGGAGGGGCCTCGCCCAGGGAGAACAGATTGGGGGCTGGTGCCTTTGGGGTGGACATCCTGTTGGAACGTTCTCTGTTCCTCCCAGCGAGACACGCTTGGCTCTGTGAAGAAGGCAGGCAGGAAGTGAAAGAGCTCTATGTGGCTTTCATGGGGGTGCCCAGCCTCTCAGGGACCCCGATGGTCATCCAGTCTGACCACGCACCCCATTCCATTTTCATTATTAGCATGTGTCCCGCCTGCTGGTGCATGGGCTCTCCCAGGGCAGGCGGCATGTCTGTTCTCGTCGCCATCAGAGCTGTCTTAGTACCTGTTACGCCGCCTGGGACACAGCAGCTGTGCGTGAAATATTGGTGGAATAAGTCAGCTGTAAATGTGGAAGTGATCCCCTTAACAGAGCTCTTCCCCTTGGTCAGATGTACAGTTACGTTATGAATGCTGGGATCCCAGGGATGGGAAGGGACACTGTGGGGTAGTCATAACAATCAGAGCTAGAAACGTGCTGGGAGGGCCCTGGAAAATAGGCCAAAAGTTCAAATGACATCTGATCAGCAACAGGGAGCCACGGCAGGCTCTCGGGGTCACCAATAAGAGAAGGCAGACGGGCGGAGTCACTGAGGACCAGTGTGTCTTGGCGCGGCCTAATCGCAGGGGTAAGCTCCAGAGATGCCTTTTGGGGCTGAACGTCAAGAATGCAGCAGGAATTCTAGTGAGTGTTGCTTCTGGGTGAATTCAGAGAGCCGGCGGCGGGAACAGAGGCAGGGGCCCGTGTGGTCGGGGCCGAACACGTCCAGGGAGGAAGCAGATGCCTCGGGAGGTGGTATGCTGTGTGGAGCCAGGCGAAACCGAAAGGGAAAGTTGGCTTTTCTCCAGAGAGTGCCCCCGAGGGCAGAGACCATGTCTTATACATCTACACCCACAGCTCCAGGCAGACTGCCTTGCATATAGTAGCTGCTTCGTAAAAGCTTCATAAATGAATGCTTGGCTGGCGGGCCGGCTCTGGGAGGCACTGAGGATGCGAGAGCTTACGGAGGCCTCTGAGAAGCTCTGTTTACTGTTTTGTCTGCTCCAGCTTCCTCAGCCTACTCTTCCGTGTTATCCCACCTCTGTTTCCTGCCGGAAGATGTCCCTGAAGATTGCTGCTCTCTGGGTGGACAGCAATCGGGCAATCACAGGCTGGGTCTCAGCCTGCAGCCTGTCGGACCCCCCCCCCCCTTCTCCTTGGGCTTCGCACTGCCAGAGAGGAGTACGTTTTGCAGGGTTCCACTGAGCCCCCCATCCAGCCACCAGGTTGTTGTTCACCTTTCCTCTGGTCTTTGATCTCATCGCGGCAGGCAGGGACATGTCGCCGCTGGAAGCCTGGAGTTAGCAATTGCGCGCACACACAAACACACGCACACACCATTCCCTGCCTCTGAGCCATTGCCTGGCCCGCTGTCCCTGGGCCT